GGGAAGAGAGAGAGGAAGAGTGCGCGCGCGCGCGCGCGCCAAAGAGAGAGAGAGAGAGAAAGCGAAAATAGAGCGAGAAAGATAGGAATTAGTCGCACACACGCGCGCATACGCACTCACCCGAGTGGGAACGGGACGGGTGAAGGAATACGAAAGAGGGAGAAGAAGAAGAAGTAAGTAGAAGAAGGGAAGGAAGAAGAGAGTGAGCGCGGGAAAGAGAGGGAAGAAGTCGAGCTCTGCTATTACAGAGCACCTCCGTGGCCGCGGCGCACAGCCCGATATGGAGCAATCTCAGATTTCCATCCGCCCAAATCGAGAATATACGCCCGCGCCTCCGCTCTCGCTCTTCTTGGCCCGCGGAGGGCTGGTCGTTGTCGTCGTTGTCGTCGTCGTCGTCGCCGTTTCTCCCGTCCCTCGGCGGAGGTGGAGACGTCGCTCCGTCGGGGTTGTCGCTTGTCCACTCTCGCTCGTAACAGTGCCAAAAGTACCTCAAAACGCGTCGCTCCGCTCTGTCGCTCCCATTTTTTTCTTTTTCTTTTCCCCTCTTCCTCTCTTTCTCTCCCTTCTTCGTCATCTATTTACCGCGTCTCATTCCACCTCCCTCGCACAATTGATCCAGTTACCCGTCTCTCATCCACGGGGAAACCCAACCACGTGCCCAGTGTCTCTCGCCCTCCTCCTTGCTCCGCATCCGCGATCAGCCGTGATCGGAGTGACTCTCGATATTCCGACACGAGAGATCGCGTGGGCGGCCGCGAGACATCGGACGCGCAGCATCAATCGGGCGAAAGTGATTGATCGGGGCTTGCGCGCGGATTTGTGCGACAGCTCGTGCTCCACGGCGGACGATGATCGCCGTGTCATCCGCTTCGGAAACGGGAGATCGATCGCGCGCAAGGATCGCCTGAGCCACGTAGGAACGTCGCCGGTCGGTCGCCGAACCCGCAGTCTTCTCTCAGAAGGTGGATTCGTCGAGAACAATACGTTCATGTTGCCGGAAAGCAATTTTCCCGTTACAGGTAATCGAGAGTGCGCACGCTGCCGGGTGTGAGATAGAACGAACTAACGATTCCGAAATAATATAACTAAAAAACTCTTCTTGAGTATATCAAAACATTAACCTAAGGACAATTAGAGTTCACGCACAGGTTGTATAGTGCTATTATAAACTATTAAAACATAGTGACACAATCTCGCAATGAGAACAAATTTTATTAAAAATCAGATTTCGCTTTTCGGAGGAGACCTGTCGCGAGGCTATTCGAGATTAGGGATGGAACCGCGAGTGTTCCATTACGGGGTCTGTACAAAAGATGCCTCAAAGATAAAAGAAATGAACGTCTAAAGAAGCAGGATGTCTTTTAGGGACGTCTGCAAGGTATCTTTTGGTAGAGACTGTCTGGGTCTCTCTTTTGGGATCGGTTTGTCAGCCATTCCTGCACGATTAACGTTCCGCGTGATGTTTCCGACCGAACGCCTTCCCGAACGATCTTTCTACGGTAGATCACCTGACGACTCCACGTGGGACGCCATCGCCGCGCAGCTTGCGCTGCTTCGGTTTACGCATTAGTACGGATCCATAGCGGCTTCATAATCGGGCCAGTGGATCACGGCCTGTCGCGGTATGCCGTAATACATAGCGGAATCGATCGGCGCGGCGCGATTACGCGTGACGACGCGACGGCGGGTTCTCGAGAATACTCCGGCGAGGATCTTCTCCAAAGAGTTTTTCCTCGGCCGTTGCATCACCTTGACACATTCTCGAGCATCGCGTCTGACTTTCCGTTTTTAACCTAGTTGCGCCTCTGCCAATAGAGCGCGAGAGCACATGCTTTCCCGCGGAACAAACGCTCGCTCCGAATCGTCCACTTGTTGCCTGCGAATGTGTGAAATTCGGGGGTTCGACGTGACACGTCGGGAGGAACGCGAGACGAGGCAACATAACGATCGTCAAAATCGTGAGTGCGACTTTCGACCTTTGTCCATCGCGATTGTAATATTGCGAAATGAGGCCTCGCAGCCACGTTGGATCTGCGATTTTCCTCGCGAAAAACCGCCGATCGTGGACGATCTTTTCAGCGCGACTGACATCCCGAACGTGAAAGCACTTTTACATGTGCGCGCACGACGACATGCGCTTCAGCGATCATAAAGGCATAGCGCGGCGCGATGCCATCAGCCATAATCCTAAATATGGAGTGAGAAATTTGAGAGAACCGAAAATAGTGGCGCTACGCCAACCGCTAAAAATAACCAAAAAATAAATTGTAGTTACGCGCTCGCCTGCATCATTCTATAACTGGTCTTCAATGAAAACGAAGCTGTCTCCCGCACACACACGCCGACAATTAATCCAACTACGCCCTACGTCGCCCTTGTCTTTTATCGCACATCTACGCACAATATTCTTCTCATACCGCGAGACCATTAAAAGTTCGATCTTTTTGCAACTGCGAAGTCCCAGAAACTTCCATTCCTCGAACGCTTACGACACTAGCTTACGAGCTTGAACTTCGTGATGGTCTAGGCGACTGTACGACAGACTCGCGCAACTTGGATACTTGGAATAGCAAAATTAGGACTTTACAGTTCGAGGATTCCACTTTTAGAACTCCGGATATTTCTGTATCGATCCTTTAAAATCTCCGCCGAGCAAGATCCAAAGCTCTGGCTTCGCGTCGAGTATCTTATCCCGAAGTAACAGCAATGACAGCCGATACATAGGCGTCTCAAGGCGTGAAACTCGATCGACTAAGGCCAACTATGGCCCAGGAATTGCGGGTGTTGGGTGGGCTGTACGGGAGTGTGTCCGGTTCTATTTTCGTGCGGGAATATTTTTATCCGACGGTGCTGCACACACAAAGTCGCAGTATGTATAATACGTTTCTTCGCGTCTCCTCCGCGTCTCCTTCTTTCTCCCTTTCAACCTCTTTCGTGCGCGCCGTTTCCTGACATCGCCGCGCGTCGGTCGCCGACGTCTCCGCATCGTTAACCCTTGACTGCGCGAATCCTCGCACGGTGCGTTAGTAAAATTATATAATGCGCGAAACGATCGGATAGGTAGATGTTTGAGAAATTTTTCTCGCTTACACGCATTCGTGTTCGAAAAACGAGCGTGTATCATATTTCACGAGGGATTATTATAAATGCCACGAGAGGGAAATTATAACCGACACAAGCACACCACATGAATGCACGGAGGGAATATATTGTAGTAAAAATTAACGTTGAAATTATATTTCTTTCTTGTAAAGTTTTGACATACCCGAGTCAAAATTTTTACTTTCCACTTTCAGTCTCACTATTTCATTCAACACCTATTTTTACGCTGAAGAAAGTGAAAAGAGAAATCTCAGGCATCATCAGAGTCAAAGTAGGAGTAAATTGCATCATTAGAATTGAACCTACTTTGCTAACTTAGCTCCTATTGCGTTGTAGAATTTATAAACCAGCCGCATTCTAGCAATCTGAAAATTTAAGAAAATTCAGGTTGGTATCAGGAATTATACATTTGTTTGTCTTTCGCCGCTAGTTTTTTTGTCTTCTATAGTCAATTTTTATAAAAAAATATCTGGTTTTAATCTAGATAGGCGTTATAGAGAGACTTTCTTGCTAAATACCGCAAATGATTCACAGAGAAATTCCGTCATTTATATCGATTAAAGATATGATCCACTTGGCGCTGCAAATGTTTCGAAGTGCCGTATAGAGCAATCAAAACTTTCTTTAAGGGGGCTTTTACATTCGTCGGCTTCAAAAAATCGATTTTTTTTTTACTTATTTTTATTCCTACATATGTGTAGAATATCTCTGTAAAAGGATTTTTAAAAATTCGCAATATTAACGGAGCTATGAGCTCAAATAGGACGTACGGATTCTCCAAGCACCTAGCAGCGCAGCAGAACTTGTAAATGCTATTCAGGTCACTATTCCGAGAGAACCGGCAGATGTCGGTTATACTTTACTCAAAATTTCTATTGGTCCAGAGAAAATCTTCCTGTCACCTTCTATACATTATATAGTTTAGGAGCAGATAGAAAGCCATTAGAACTGCTCGAACCTTGTTCTTTGTCGTGCATAGCGTGAGTTGAATAACGTGCGTCTCAAAATGTTCCACGGAAAGAAAACTTCTAAATTTAGTGATATTCGACCTGGACATAAAACAAAGAAACGACAATTCCGAGGGAATCGATATTCAAGTGAAAATGAAGTACATCGGCAAGAAAACTACGAGAGTCTACTGATCATAACGTACAAGTGGATGTGTTGCAAAGCTATTGCATTATTAGCTTTCTATCGATTTTTTCTAAATTAAATACTGAAATACTGGTGTGCAAAAAATGTAAAAAAGAAGTTCGTTTCAGTAAAACTAGAGAAATGGGATTAGGATTTAGATCAATCGTTGAGTGTAGCTGCA